AATTAGATCTGATGCTGCAATTCTGCTTTTCTCATCTATGAACAGACCATGAGATCTTGTGGACAGTATTTACAGAATCAAAAAATTCTCTGCTGTGGCTACAGGTGTCAGTTAATAACCCAAACCAAACAGAATAAGAAAAAGACGGCAAATTTAATGTACATGTTAAAAGGGATATATACTGCTGAAGATTCTCAGCCATACTGTTCCTAGCCATTCCGAAAAAAGTAAAAATACAATTCATTGGACTTGGTTTTTCCAAGTTTGAAGATGTTTCACTTCCCATCCAGCAAGCTTTTTCAATTCAAAATGTCAGAATTAGCTTTGAGTTCGAGGCTTTGTGTGGTGTCTGAGCCTGTTTGGGTGCAGTTTAAGCCGGTCGTACACTGTGCAATTTTTTTCAATCGTTGCACGCAGCTACAGCTGACACTGTACAACGAAACCCTGAGGTTTTGTCGTACAGAGTGAGTTCACAGCTCACAATGTATGTTCTCACACTGTGCGGCCCGTCGCTCTGATGCGATCTACCTGCTCACACTGTACGTCTAAAAACCACGTCGAACTCAGCTCCACAGTGAGATGGCGCTACTCAAACTCGTCTATCCAGAAGACAAACGAGTAGAAGAGGAATATGAAGCTCATTAGAGAGAAACACGCTGCCTTGGCAATTTGTGCAAAAAGGAAAGGCAACAACGTCTTTGGACAAAGACATGGCTGGGCAAACGTGGTTACTACAGTCTGTCAATTTTATAGAAATAACACAAGTTCACTCGCACCCCCGCCATGCTTCTGTGTTTTCCTTTGAGAGGAAGAGGAAGAAGAAGAATTCTTGTTTGCGTAAGCCCACTGAGCGATTTGCCCATGACAGCCAACTGAAAATCAAACATGTCTGATTTTCTCGCGATTCCTTATCTGGAGGTGGTCATGATAGGCTGATTGCACCTCGTTACCCCCTGTATACTACACAACGCACAACTCAGATCAGGCTGAAAGTCGGCCCAATTTAGAAATTCTGGCATGACTGGAAAGTCGGCCCGAAAAGGGCAAAAAATTGCACAGTGTATGCCCAGCTTTAGGTTGTGTTCTCTCTCTCTCTGATAGGTGTGGCTTGGGAGGAGCTGGCTGCACACAACAGAGACTGATCTTCATCTGGAGCAGTATTCAAAGCTTGGCCTCCTGTGTGCTTGCTGCTTGATGGTTACCATTAGTTGGCAGATCTACCAACTTCTTTCCCTAGTGGAAATAATGGCTCCAGCTGTTTGGGATTGTTTATATTGATCTAACCTGTTCTCTGTCTACCTAGGATCCTGCTACAAACCAGCCACACCACCCACCTCCCTCATCTCCAGCTGCTGCAGAGAGCTTGCCTTTCTCCTCAAACTGCCCCTGCTTCCAGAGATGCCTTTCTTCCCTGTCTGCCTGTGAACCAAAATAAACTGTCATTGCTCCTATCTCCTAGCCTGGCTGTCTGCTTATCACACTTTATAGAGTGGACCAAGATGGCTTTATAGCTGAGCAGGCCTCTGCGAGGTGCATGTGTCTTTGTCTCTCCTACATGTTGGCTGCCTGAGTGGCTTGTGTGCTTGAGCCGCTCATCTGAAATCCATTGCTCCCCTGGTGTTGGCGGCTGCAGCTCGAGGTTGTTTCGGCGTGCAGCTTCCATCTAGTCCTGACCTGCTGGTCCGCTTTCTCCCTAGTTAGGCTGTGTTTCCACTTCTGGGGTTGTCCTGAAGCTGCAGCACTTTGGATGCTCTGCTGTCTTGTTTCGACGGTGTTTGTTTGGGATGCTCTCAACGAAACCTGTTACTGCTTGGACAGGCAGAGTGAGCGGGGCATGACTCCTCTGGCCCCATTGAAGGGCATATGAAATTAGACAATGACAATTTTTTCCCACTGTTTGAAGTGCTTGCTTTTTTTTTTTTACCGTTTTTGGTTGCTTATTATTGAAATTACTAATGTGTTTGCCTTTGTTTTGATTTACTAATTTGTTTCCTTTTGCATTGCATGTTTTGTTTGTTCATTTATTTTTGTGGAATAATTTAAATTGCCCTTATTTTCTATGATCTCTTTTCTTTCCAGGGACTAAGTAGTAGGCCAGAAGCCATGTTTTAACACAAAGATGATTTAATGAAATAGTTTAATAAAATATTGTGTATTATTCTGTGTTCTGGTGCATGTTTTTGAAAAAGATTCCCACTTTGCGGGTCACAATCTGTTTCTATTCTTTTTTTTTGTGGATTCCTGTATTCTAATTGATCTCTGTCTGTTTGTACACTAAACCTAGAACAGTGGCAACCGGCAAATAGAGGGCGCTATCTCACCACCCTACCCACTCAATGAACTTAAATAAGACGTAAGAAAAAATAATAATCAGATTATAAAATTAAAATATTTCGAAATATATTGATATATTATCTAGATGTGCAAGATAAATATTGAATCTTTAATGATGAGTAAAGCTGTGTTCATTGTTTTGCCGGATTGGTGACGTATTTCTGCCCTAGGGCCCAAAAATCTTTGCACATTGATTATCCCGGATTATCCTGCCTGCCTTCGTTTGCTCGGCTCTATTCCCCTGCCTGTCCTCCGAACAGCCTCTGGGACTCACTGTGCAGCAAATGGTGCGTTGCGTTGGCAGTCAACCGGCTGGCAAACGACAGGCAAACAGATCAGAACAGGAACAGGCAGGCTCAGAGGTCAAAAGGCAGGACAGGTCAATCAGAAACAATTAGATACCCTAGAACTCTCACATGACTTATAATTTAAAAAATAAATAAAAAATAGCCTCCTCTAGATACTATTGTTTTAAGGAATCAGAGTCAGTAAGATTAATTAATCAATAAGAGGCATTGAGCTGATCGATCCTCCAATACAAAAACTAAAAAACTAAATAAAAAAAACCCATAGAGAAACATTATCATACATTATCAATGCCATAATTACCCTTCTTGGAGACCAGACCAGGATTACCGGTCAAGGATACTGACCTTGTTATTTCTTATCAAGCATCAATATTCTGTTTGAGCTGTCAGCCAGCAGGGCATTTTTGTCATAATCTGGCCTGTTTGCTCTCCCTTAATTGGTTATTTCTTTCACCTGTCGTTTTCCCTCCCTTCCTCAATTATCATTTATTCCTCTCACCTGTTTCCTTTGGTTTATATTCTGTTCAGCCTGAGCATTCAGGGCCAGATCATTTTATTTGTTTTCTGTTAGTCTGTCCGTTCAGTTCTGCAATGGTTCATGTCCTGGATCCTGTCGGCCAGTGGAAAGAGGGTTTTTGTGTTTGTCTCGTCTCCTGATCGTTCACTGTTCCTCCCCCGCTGAGTCCTCAGGGTTTTTGGCTTTATATGTGGGGAGGTTCAGTTTTTATCCCAGTAAGCCTGGCTCCAGGGAGGAGACCAGTTTAAAGGTCCTGCATCAAGTTCTGGTTTCACATCCTGTCTCGGCTAAAGTCTGCCACTGAGCCTGCTCATCTGCACCTGATCCTGTCTGCTCCGTTGCGTGACTGTCTGGCCACACTTCTGAACTCTGTCAGACTCCGAACCTGTCTGGGAGCTTGTTATTGCCTGGAAGCCTGGATCCTGTCACCTGTCTGCAGACATGGGCAATGTGGAGTCAACAAGTCATCTCCATGTCATGTATTGGTTCTACCCAGCCACTGAAGCAGGTGAGTCCAACCGTGAATTAACCTGTGCAGATTGGACTCACCTGGTTAATTGGCTGGGTAGATTAAATACATGACATGGAGATGACTTGTTGACTCCACATTGCCCATGTCTGCCTGTCTGTTCCTGTCTGATCTGGATCCTGTCTGATCTGTCTGTTCCTGTCTGCCCTGTATCCCTGTGTTCCTGAAACTCTTCCAGAGCTGCAGCACCGGGGACACTCTGGGTGACGCAAGCCACAGCTGTCAGCCCATCGGCTGGATTGCACCCCCCTCAAGGGGTATGGACTTCACTGCTAAACCAGGTAAGTGACTCACTGAGATCACCATCTTCAGTCAGATGATCGTGGTCACTTACCTGTGTTTCTCCCAAAGAGTGTTAGAGATTGGGCGGTGCCCCGCCCCCCTCCTGCAGTATTCGCGAGCCACAGATCCACTTTAGCTTTGTTTGTTATTTAATAAAGGTTTTGAACTTACCCACTGACTGTCTCTCCTTGAACACTGGGTCCATCTGTCCTCGATTCATGACAATTTTAAAGTCATTACATTCAAAAAGTACATTTTTCAAACAGAAATGGCTTCATTTCAAACATTTTGCAAAGGTGAAATAGAAATGACTGATAAATGAAACAAGCAAACTTGATGTTATGGGAGACGGATCTTAAGTGTGAAATCACTTGCAGTATTTGCAATGTAATAAACGTTATTAAATAAGCTTTGATGTGTCAAATGTATCTATTAAATCAATTTAATATAATAAACTCATGAAGGTCTTGCAGAAGTTAGTTCATTGTCAGTGAAGTGTGCATGTTTCCAGTTTTAAGACAATATTTTAGAAATAAGAGAAAACAGGGTAATGTCTGCAGCGTGTATATATGATTTATTTATTTTGTTTTTTAAATCTTTTACATTGCTTTTCAACATTCAGTATATCCAATGCTGAGAACATAAAACAATCTCCATGACATTCAAGGTAATTAATTATACTTTAATAACCTCTGAACAAAGATCAATACAATTCTACTGACTTTTCCTGGAGACAGCCTATTGGAGAAAGTAGAGACTGGTTGACTTTTGTATTGATTTCAGTTGTCGGGTCATAGTGGATCGTTCATTCTCCTGTTTTCTGAGAGAATTTTCCATCCAATCCTAAACTCCCTTAATCCAAGAGAAGATTCTGAAGGGAATGATTTATAGACCCGCAGATCGGTACATTGTTCATCCCCAACATGGACCTGTAGGATAGAAATGCTAGTAAATTAAATCACCTTCACTTTAGATGGTGGGGAGCAGTAAAAGATGTTTCTTACCCTAATGTTGTAATTTTTTCCATTCACAGTTTGGTCAGTATATTTAATTGCTCTGAACTCCTTATACTTTTTTGAAGTAGCATACTCAATATCACTCTTCAGCTGTGAAGTAATAAAATGAAATAATACACTCAATTTGTTTCGAAACAACCAGTTTATACATGCACAAACTACAAGAAACTTAATTTTAATACTATTTACACAAATAAATAAACCTAATATAATTTCATATTAATCTTTTTATGATAAATGTGTATCAAAGCTTACCATGGAACACATCGCCTGGATTTCATTCGTTGCAAGACTTTCTGCAACTGAGAATCCTCCTAACACTTCCATTCTGATTCTGATTTCTGCTTTGACTACAGATAAAGCATCTGCTGATATCCTCCCCAAATGCTTAACGTCTGTTGTTTTCTTCAGCATATTTATACCAAAGTTAAACCGGGTAAACCAGGTAAACTGGATACTCTGTGCAAGTCGTTTCCTCTACAGATGGGCTGAACTCTGGGGGAAAACTTCTCAAATTCCTCATGTTCATACTTGCACAATTACTGACTGAACTCCCATTTAAAACATGTCACTTTTTAAAAGATGTTACAGCGTAATTAGGACTTTCACTGTGTTCAACCTAGGTGGTTGTGGTTTAGTCCTCTAAACCACACATTCCCTCAACATGAGAAGAAGATATTAAGACACACAGAGTTTAAACGAGATTTTAATTTCAATATTGTGATTCTAAGATCCCCAAAAGGGTTCCTGAAAAACAATGCATGTAAAACCTAGAAACGCAGAAAAAAAAACTTTTTCACTTTTGACATTAATCTGATTAAATCTGTCCAAAAAATTACATAAGGCAGCCTAATATGGTGGAAATATTGCCACAATGTTAGAAAATGGTAACTAGAGATAAATAAGTTCGCTGAAAAACTAATGCAACTCTTTTTGGCATGTATTCAATCATATTTAGTTACTTTAACACAGTTATTTTATCTCCCGCCCTCCTAAAATGGAAAATAGATCTGTTAATATATCTAGATATAATAAAACTGTTTAAATATTTTTATCAGTAGGTATGATGCATTCAGTGTTTAGGGACTATGAACTATTATTTTTTTATTAGGAGTAGTATTTCTCCCAAAGCAGTAGCTCACATACTTCTGTGTTGAACTTACATTTTTTTTTTTTTTTTTTTTTTTTTTACTCTCTTGCTGCAGCACACAAAGCATGAAAATCTAAATTTATCTGCTGTAGAATTTTCTAATTCCATCTGTGTAGTCATAACCTCATGCAAGCTCTAACTTATGAAATAAATTAAAGAAAGCTTTATTAGAACTGAAACAGGGTTAAGTTGGATTTCCTAGAATTGTTAAATCCAAGCTTTGACTTAATTTGGGAGTCATGAGAGGGTTGCCAATTTATCTCTACTAATTGAATAGATACCAGCATTTCTCCTGTCTGGGTACCACCACGGGTAACTGAGCCACGTTTAAGACCTTAGGTTCTGATTCGAAAGGTTGTGATAGCCTTGGTCTGAATTCAAAAAGAACCCTGAGGCTAACAGTAAGTCCTTAAAATATAATCTCCCCTAAGGAAAATTTACGTTTTTTACAATAATTATTCACCTGAACTTTGGGAGAGCTCCTACAGTGAAACTTTTTCCTAAGATGTGGGGAGATGACTGGATTTTCCTTGCCACAGAGAAACGGTTTGACGTGTAGGGTTCCATTAAAACGGCAAGCCATTCCTTTCTCACTGGCATAAATCTTTGCACAAATCCCCTGCAGGCACCACTCCTGTCGGCTAAGAGCAGCAAACTAAAAATGCATTTAACACCTTCTATCAAAATTAGCCAATCTAACACTTGAAAAACATGGTGGGTTTAAAGCTTGCTATAAACAACTTGAAAGTATAGATATTGGTTTTTGTCATAATGTGAAAGATTTTTTTTGGACACTTGTTACCTGTTAAACATGTTTTAAACTCTGAAGCCTACCAGAGACTCAATGATGATGAGTATGTCAGTCCCTTTATTCTCAGAGGTAGTTCTGATGCTTGATTTTCAGATGTTTTCTAGCAGACTGCAGGGCAGAACCCTGGGAGAAAGAAAGGAGATATAATCTGCTTTTTTAGAAATATTGGTTGGTGCACTGATATTAGTGTGTTACAGAAGATGTTTAGTCTTCACATAGAGACCTTTTTTGAGCTATCCTAAGCTATCTCTTTATTATGCTGCTATAGGCTGAGACTTCTGGAGGACATAGGGACCCCTATTTCATCATTTTGTTTCATTCTATTTCTATCCTTCCACTCTGCAGAATCTGTTAGTTCAATCTCTAATGTTATGCTCTCTCTCACTTTTCTCATAGTAGCTTTGCCTCATCTGTTCCTGTTTGGCTGTGACTTCCTCCTGGAGAGAAATATCAGCTGCTGAGCTGGCTCAGAGCTCATCTGCCTGGCTTTGCATTTCCTGGACGGGGCCGCCTTTTACAGTTGCCTCTTGTATCTCTGCTTCTGTCTCCTTGAACCCCAGTTGGCCTCTGCAGATGGCAGCTCACAGTGAGCCTGGTTCTGCTGGAGGTTTCTTCCTGTTAAAAGACAGTTTTTCCTCTCCACTGTCACTACAATCCCGCTTAGTGTGAGGGACTGCATCCGAGTCAATGAGTCGATGCAATCAACTGGTTTTTCTTAGATTGAAAACTTTGAATCAATTTGAGTGTATGATCTGGTGAACTGTAAAGTGCCTTGAGATGACATGTGTTAGAGTAATTGTACATAAATGTATCTGTATAATGTTATAATGCATAAAGCTGTATGTTGTGTGTTTGCAATTATAATAACCTTTGATATGTAAGCTTGCTTTTAAGGGAGGTTGTGGTTGATTTACAAGCAGCATTAAACCTGCTCAACAACTGCAACAACGTAAACCTTGACTGAACTCTGAGATCTAAAGGACATGAAAATGAAGTCTTGTTAGCGTTATCTCTGAGAATTATAGCCCCCTTTCCTTTAGTGCAATTCAGATATGTAACTAGGGGAAACCCCTGACTTTAATAAATTGCGAGGCTGAGAAAGCTGAGACCGGCAGAGTGGGTTGGAGATTGTAACTGTACGGTCTGTTCCTACGCTCCTCGCAAGTAAAAAAGAGTTCTGACTCTGTGCCTTTCTTTCCTTGTCTTACAGTGTTTTTATGTTAGGTTTCTGTTTTCTTTTATGTTTTTCTTTTGAACATCGAGTTTTGCTTTTCTCCTTGTTTCTTAGTTTTTATGCTTTAATTGTTAGTTTAATGTGTTCTTTGTTTTTTTTTCTCTCTGTTAATGTCCGAGTCTTGGTTCTGTTTTATTTTCTTTTTAGTGTTTGGTTTTACTTTTCTCCTTGTTTTTTCAGTCTTAGTGGTTTAATTTTTTTTTGTATTTTCTAATTTTTGTCAGTCTTCCAGGTTTCTCATTTGTTTCCCTCTGCTGCCCTCTCGTGTTCTCCTTTTTCCCTAGCTCATGTTTTATTTCTGCTTCTGTACTCACCTGTTTCCTATCTGCTCATTAGCCCCCTCTTTGTCTCTGTCTCCTTTAAAAGTTCTCTCTGTTCACTTCCTCTTTGCTGGGTCCTCGTCTTACTTTGTCTTACATGCTCCAACCTAATCTTTCTGAGCCTTTCTCCTTGAGTTTTGATTCCCTGATGTCTCCATGGTTTTCTGGTTTGTTTTCTAGTTAATTTTTCATGTTTTGAATTTAGAATTTTGGGCTCCTGGTTTCTTGTTTGTTTTTTGGACTTTGTTTTCATTTTTGGATTTTGGATTCTTGGTTGCCTGGTGGTTTGGATTTTGTTTTTTCAGTTACTCTTCATTAAATCAACCATAAATTCACCTCTGCCTGCCTGCCTCTGCTTTTGGGTCCTCAACCCACAAACAAATCCTGACATTTTCGGTGTTTGAACCTGATATTAAATTGGTCCTTCGAGCCGGATGTCAACACATCTGACGAATCCAGTGGACGTGGGTGAAAGACAGAAAGACTGTGGCCACAGCAGGACTGTTGAGTCCTTGACCCAGACCCTTTGACGGTACTTGATTCATCCCTGTTCCCTGGGATCTGAAGAGTGACGGTAGTCCAAAGGAGAAAGGCACACAGGAGGATGGTGGAGTCCTGTAAATTCCGTGAGTAGGTTTAAGTGAAAAACCTGACTGAGTGAAAAGACCTGAAGGAAACTAGTCCTAATGGGGGAACAGACCCCCGGAATTGTCTGTTGTTAAATAGGAGGTATATAAGAAAAAAAGACAAAAAGAAAAAAAAGAAGAAGAGGGAGTTAACGGGGATGTGAGTGTATGTGAGTGGAAGTATTAGTACCACTAGGTACTAGTATTTCATATAAACAGCAAGAAGACAGGAAAAGCAAACAAAACAACCCTTGTGGATGCATGTAGGCAAGAATTTTCCCCCTCAAAGTTGAAGTGAAAATTACCACAACGGTATCTTAAGTATTGCTCTGTTGAAATAAACCAGTGTTTTAGAATACCCTAGGTGTTACAACCACACTGGTCCAAAACACGCAAAATGGGAAGTGGGTCTAGTAAAGTAAAACCAAGAGATAAACTAAAGGATAAAAACTGGACATTCGTATAAGCAAATGACCCTAAAGCATTGAAATTACTTAGATCATTGGATAAAGAAATATGTGTTTGGGGTACGCCTCAATACCCAAAAGATAGAAGAGTTAAAAGAAAAAATTAAACAAAACAGGAAAAAAAGAATAAATATAAGAGCTCGAAACAGCGCAGAGGTGGTTAATACAGATGCAAAGTAGACAGGACTTTATTCTGAAAATTCAAATGAATAGATTTACTGTTATGTTTATCCGTCTTTAATGTTATGGGTCCTTCAAGTTATGTTTGTGCATCCAGCAGGAGCTGTGGGGGTGGGGTGGGGGACCAGCCTAAAGGATTTTAGGCTAGTCTGTAGATAGCCAAAGTTTCAGTCTGGCTTTAGAGCTCATCATAGCACTGAAACAGCTCTGGTGAAGGTTGCTAATGATATTAGCAACCTTCACCAGGATATTAGCAGCTCAATGTTAGCAAACTAGCAACGTCTAATGTAACCACAGTAATGGATAATATGTGTAATGCCCAAAAATATGCTAAAAAGGGAGGAGGTGTGTCTAGAGGGGGGGCATAAATATTCTGGGTCGATTCTATATGTGACTCAAGATAAATATTTTCTTTCCAAGACACCGGACCCCCCCAAAGGATGCAGGGGCGGTCCTAAGGGCTGAGGGGGCTTTCAGCCCAGACCAGTAAAAACAGATGAGGGATGCTGGAATTGTGGGTTACCCGAACATTGTTTTAGGGAGTGTCCCAATCAGATATGGGGAGGGGCTGCAGGGGTGGCTAGAGCAAATCCAGAGCCTTTAAAAACAGTGGATGT